TTTTTTTACAAACAATATGCGCATCAAAAGTGTTGCGCATTCTCGCCTGTGTAACAGCTATTCTCGAGTCGTTTTTATCATATCGATTGTATTTAATAATTTAACAACTTGTAAACGCCATTGATATCTTTATAAAAAAAAAAGTACATATTCTCAACAAAAAAAGAAAAAGAAAAACATATATATAAAAAAAAAGAAAAAAACAAACGTTTCATGACTCTATTTCAACGAGAACTCTTTCGTAATCTTAACAAAATGAATACGTCTCGCATAATTACAACTGTATACAAAATACATGCTCAATATACAAGATAGTAAATCGGCCGAATCGTGTGACTTAAAACGGCAACTCGATTTAAGTTTCTACGAATACAAAACTGATATCTGTCATTAGCCATCAGTTGATTATGATCTTTTTGTGCGAACTACAAATTGGAATAAATTTCTTTTCTTTCTCTCTCATCTGCTAACGCGCCGACATGGTATCATTTTTATTTTTTTTTTTTTTTTTCCCCCGTTAGAATAACCTGTTTCGGGAATTGGTATACATATTAGTTTAATAAAATCAGTTTTCTGTTTAAGTTCTGACAATATTACAACATACTCTTTTTGAGCAACGCGAACTTAGAAACTATGCATAACTAAATATACCTATGTGTCTACGGCATTCAGTAAAATACGCTTAATCGAAAGCTACATTCAGCTTCATTATACAGCGTAACAATTGTATGATGAACGTTGCATTAAAAAAAAAAAAAAAGGAGAAGGACATATATATTCACACTCCATGTTCGAAACAGAGATTTAGCACATGTAACATTCATCATTTTTCAAAATTCCGTGCTCTTTCCGCAATTGTCTCGCGGTTTGTTTTATATATTTTTCAGAATAGAGCCATTCAACTGGTCACCGGAAAGATACATCGATGAAACGTCGAAAACAGTCGATAAAGAATGATTTGTTGGTTTCACATCGAAAATGTTCTTCCATTTCTTGGCTGGTGTGTATGCGTAAGTACAGCGTTGTATTAAGTCGACTCGATATAATCGGATTTGTTAAATAAAGGTCTCGAGTACAGTTCGCCGAAAAAAACAAAAATACCTGTTCATCTTGACGCTCGACTTGTCTGACAAATGACAATGGTGCTTGCCATCATATCTTCGCTGAACAATATAATTTTCACGATGATTTGTTTATTTATTCATTTTTTTTTTTGTTATTTTTACTTTTTTTACGTTGTTTTGATTTTATCCACCTAGAGATTTCTTTTTATCCTTTCATTATTATTCGCTCCTCTCGCACTTACTTGGTCTTACTCTACGAGTGCAACATAAGCCTGTGACATACAAAATATTTCCTGTCGAGGACACAGTTGATATGATAATGAAGAATGTTAGGGCGTCACCTACGATTCTAGCGCCGTATTCGACGGCGTGTAGGACATTTCCATGGTGATTCCGGCGCTACTACGGCGAAATCTGGAAGGTATATCAGTGCTGTTGCGGGGTTTACGTCTGCTCAAGTGTCTCTCCACCCATTTCAACATGGTTAATACGGAATCCGTGCTCGGTAAACGCCTTTCTGCTGACGTACGGATTATGTGCGATGACGCTACGCGGAAGGTAGCTGCCATACCCTTTAACGCCTATATAAAATACAAAATTATATTAATATATACATTAAATATATATATTAAATATATACATGCAAAATATCAAATCGGATTGAAGTCAAGGAAAAAATGTATTTGACGAGTGGATACATAGTAGATGTAGTTCAAACTTCTTCGTTTCAATTCTTCGAGCAATTGATTGTCAAAAAAAAAAAAAATTCATACCCTCATTGCGTCTTCATCCGTGACATCGTCGCCAGCGTAAATGATCCTGATACGTTCGCTCCAGTCCAAACCAAACGCTGTACGCAGAATGTAAATGGAAGCACGACCCTTATTCCATTCGACCGGTGGTTTCGCTTCAATGGCACAATGCGCCGAACAAGCTTTGAAACCCGCTTGCTCGATAATGTTCTTTGCCTGTTCCACCATCTCGGAACGTCCTTCCACCGGCGTTTCGCGATAGTGGAACGTCAGCAAAGCTCCTTTGTTTTCCACCCAGGCACCGTCTCTGCAAAGCTACATTCGACACGTTACGAATTAACGCAGTTACAAACGATATCGCAGTTTTGCACTATTCGATATCTGACATCGTAGAGTATTGAAATCTCAAAAGAAAAAGCGTGCTTAGAACTCACTTGGTCTTGCAACGTTTGCATCAAATTCGCCACCTTGCCCTCCAACTCGGCGGGCATCGGATGGACAAACTTGCTACCGTCTGGATGCAGAATTTCCAATCCGTGATTGCCAGCGTACGTGATACCTTCTATACCAACCATGGACTTCACGTTGTTCACGTTTCTGCCTGATATGATCGCTATGTATACGTCGGACATGTTCGACAACCTTTGGAGAACGTTCTTCGTCTCGAGGGGCAAAATGGCGAGATCCGGATGGGTGGCGATAGGAGCCAGAGTGCCGTCGTAGTCCAGCAGGAGAGCCAATTTGTGATTATCGCCGATGTACCTAGGGGACATGTGTTATCACTGGAACGTTACCCGGCTTTCATCATGAGTCAGGTCGCAATCGCACGCGCGGGCCCGTCCGTCTTCCAGAAGCATTTTTCTTGCTGAACACATAATCTGATAATCTCATTGAAGAGTGTCAGACATAGACACGCATGTCAATAATCCCCAAAGTTACTTGGAATTTGTACTTTCAACTTTTTATCCTTTTTTATCCTTCGTTTGAAATATATATATTAAATAAGTTATAATTCAATTCACTTGACGACAGGATGGACTTTTCAGGAACATTAGTACAGACGGACAGTTAATCGGGGAAATTTGTCCCAGAAGATAATCACGATTCTTCACGGTTGGTATGTTACATGTGTATTTTTAATACATATTTCACTGGCAATATTAAAGCCACCAGGTGGTTTCCAACGCGGCGACGTACCCAAACTCATGCTCGATTTAATAAACAGTTCGATCTGTCGATATTTGATCGATTCTTTTTATCGGAACGTCTCATTCCATTGGAATGCATGCTCTTTCCATTACACAAGCATGCCGATAAGTAAATCTGTACTCGTATGTGCGATAAGCAAACTGAATATTTTATATAATTGGAAATTTTGTATAGAATATTATTAAAAGGTGTTACATTGCAACACTTGTTTACCAAAGTGTAGTAATCTTTTTCAAGTTTTGCTCTTAACAGCAATTAAAAGGATAGTTTGCTCACAACATATACGTTTACATTTTGATTAATTCGTTTGGTATTCTGTATATAATCTACGATTAATTCGATAGGAAATTTATATGTATATATGTATATATATACATATATACTGTTAATAGTTTTACTACCTTAAAATATTTATACTTTAATTGTACGTTGGTTGATTGATTCCCGCGTAAGCGCATGCTCTGGTCGGGCCCAGTCATGCACGTCGCTAATCTCTAACAATACCTACTTGCTTAAGTAATCATCGAAATCATCCATGGTAACCGGTTGCATAGTCGTGGCACCCACTGAATCGTGCTCCTCCAGCGAACCCATTACTTGCAGGAAGGATTTCATCCAATAATTGACATCGTAGATCCTTTCGCGGCGTCTTAAGTGATTCATCCTTAATGTACGTTCATCTTCCGGCATAGTAAGTGCTCTGGAATGTACACAAGTAGTAGTCTCTTGTGTATTCGTACACGTGACAGAAAATACAATGTTAAAGTTTCAATGCTAACAACTAAAGCATTAAAGCGTCATATGAAGAATTGTGAAAATAATCAGAATTTGCAATCAAAGAGTCCAGAATTGTTATTATAAGTATTTAAGTGGTAGCGAGTTCTTCTAGTTCAAAGGTACCTATGAATAACTTCAGCAGCTTCGTCCATTTCATAGGGATTACAGATCAGGGCTTCGTGCATCATCTCTCCAGCTCCAGCAAACGGGGAAACGATCAACACACCGGGTGGTGTGTTGATCTGACAGGCGACGAATTCCTTGGCGACCAAATTCATACCATCCCTAAGTGGTGTAACCAGAGCAACTGCAGCATCCCTGTAGAACGCTGCCAACTCGTCCTGACTCACGCAACCGTAAATGTAACGAATGGGAGACCAATTCGGTGTCGTGAACCGACCGTTTATACGACCGATTAGCTGATCCATCTCAAGCTTCAAATCTTGATATTCGCGGACGTCAGTACGCGATGGCACAGCAATTTGTAGCATAGTGACCTAAACAGATATACGTTTAATAATTTCTGAAAAGCTTATATCTTTTTTTTTTTAACTTCTTTTTAGTATCTGATTCATAATATTTTTTTCTATCATTATGATTAATTCATTTGTATATGATCCGTTTATTAAATATCATAGATTTTATTAGAATTAGGTTTGTAATCTGAATGTTATATTTGGCAGTTTGCAACATAATAATACACTTTGAACCTTTGCTTATCTAAAGTGACTGTACTTAAATGAAACGTGTTTGCACATCAACCCTCATTTTATATTTACCTGTTCACGATGTTCCGGATGCTTTTCTAACAACAGCTCAAAAGCTTTTAGTCTGTGGACCAAGCCCTTAGTATAATCCAAACGATCAACGCCCAATACAATTTTCTGGTTGGTCAGCATGACCTTGCTGGCAGTCTCGGCCAGCGAAACGAATCTATCGAAGGGGATACCAATGGGAAGTGGTCTCACTCGTACAGTTCTTCCACCATGCTCCACCAGTAAATTCTTGCGATCAACCCTGCATCCGAGACATCTCTGACAGCAATCGACAAAGTTCAGGCAATAGTCCTGAATGTGAAAACCGACCATGTCGCAACCTAACACGATTTTACTTTCATTAGATATCAAATTTTTTTTTTGTTTTAAATAGAGAAAAAGAAAAATATCCTATTGTATATGATTTTCTATAATAAATAACTCTTTTTAACACTACTATAAATATATAAAAATAACTCTTATAAACCCTATAAAAATAACTCTTTTTAATAATTAAATATTTCAGGGATACAAATTCTTTCATAATTCATAATTTTTAATAAATATTATAACTGATAATCTAATTAAGCCTCTGCTTAATTCTTTCGAATTAGAATTTTCAATTCAGATTAAAATAGTTGAAATTTCGTAGACTTTTCCTCATACTTTAAATTTGCAAACTTTAAATTGGCAACTTGAAAATTTCTACCAATGTGTGAGTTACAGAGTGAATGAAAGTGATGCTTACCAAGCATTCCTTGGAGTATTTCATCAGCCCATGGGAACAATCTGAAGATGTCCCATGGTGGGAAAGGGATGTGAAGGAAGAAACCTAATTTACACCTGAGCTGTTTCTCATCGGCAGCTTGTCTAATCCAGTTCGCTGCTAACATTAAGTGATAGTCGTGCACCCAGACCAACGGCGTGCCATTCGGTTGATTATTTTGCTCTTTATGGATTTGTTCCAGTGCGGCAACCTAGATATTGACAAATTATTATCATTATATTACCTATAATACTACTTTGTAAGTGGTATTATATTATTATTATATTATTATTATACTATATTATATTATATTATGTTATATTATGTTATATTATGTTATATTATATTATATTATATTATTATTATATTCGATATTAGGGAATGATATGTGAGTAGAGCTTATATGATGCTAGGCTAGTGAATGATTATTGTATTTATTTCTAAGAAGACTGTACGAAGGTAGAGAAGGAGCGGAAATTGTAATCCTAAGGGAAAACAATAAAGACCTATCTATCTACTACTTTGTAATTTTTAGCGTTTGTAATTAATTTCTTTGCGTGCAGTAAAATTTTCAATTATCTGATTTTGATAAATCTCGATGATAGATTTTGATAAATGTATTCTCTTTCACTCTCTTTGCTTTATAATGTTTCTTCGCTTCTGTACTGTGTTCAATTTTCATTAACTCTCGTCGCATCGTCAGAAAACGCGCTGCAACTATCGACACGTAATATCTACGTAGAGAAAGTGTTCATAATCACATTTCCAGCGTAATAACACTCTCATTAATTTTACTAAAAGCATATCTGCGTACGTTCAATAATTGAGAAAGAGCAGAGATCTAAAATCCGTCACTTTCAACAATTCCGTTATCGACAACTTATTACGTAACAAAATGTTCTATACACGCGTAACTTTCCAACTCGTTAACTCTTACGACAAAACAATACTGCATATGTACATAGGTACGTATGTAGGTATCGTTCTATTTAAATCGCAGCAAACATTTGTTACCTTGATGTCATTCTTGACAGCTTCGATGTAATACTTATTTGCACAGTAGCGCGCTAGATGATGTACGAAACTTCCTGTCATTTTGTCTCTCATTTGCATTTCTCTTTATCTGACAAATTTTATCTTAGATAATATCTTACACCGTCTCGAACTGAATTATCTCCTTTTTTTTTTTTTTTTTTTTTTTTTCGAATAACTGACGTTCCATCTGTTTGCAATCTGAATCGATATCATGCTCACCGTTTTCGCAGCGAATTCCTCGTTGACGGCGGAATACGCCCGCCAATGCTCCGCGATGAAGGTCGCTCGATCAGGCATAGAGTGAAACAATGGCCAAAAGGTCCCGTTGCAACATCCATTGTAGTACGAATCAAAGACAGACGGTTCAACGTGCACCGCTACAACCTATACAAAAGAAAACAATCTCTTTAATCTGGCTGTAGAATATGACATTGATTTGTTAGCGAGCGACTGCACATCCCAGGGCGATTCTTCTGTACAGAATTTCTCTGTTTTCTTTCCTTTGCAACCTCGCGCGCATTGTTTCACGAAATGGAGAAAACAACGCGCGATCGCGCGAGAGGGAATTTATTTGTTCGTTGTTTCGAGTTTACGACTGATAGAAAAGTGTGACGATACTCGCTAATCTTGCACGTGAAAGAAAGCAAATATCATTGTCACGACATTTCGCTACGATGTCGAGAAGACGTAATAAAATTGCAAAGAAAAAAACGTGTCCTGTGAAACGTGTGGTTCGTGACCGAAGGAACTTGCCCCGAAGTGTTGTAAAGGATCTAAGGCTACAGAATCTTCGCTGTGAGGAAGCAACCGTTTCTGAGCAGCTTATAAATTTTTTCATAAAGGAAGTCTTAATAACTGCAACGTCTTGCCCTGTGACGAGCCACACGTTATCATAAAGAGTATATACTTTCCTTTCAGAAAATTCATACGGTCGTTTCCTCGCTTTTTGAAGAAGTGCTTTTAGCAACGGAGATCACTACGTTTCTTCTTTCACCAGAGTCTCGGTTATTATTATAGGAACAAATGCGTACACTCGTTTACTTATATGAACATTTACAAAGAAAAGCAGTGAGATCAGAGAATCTCGTCTGTAGGACAATGTTCGAAAAAGGACATGTTCGCCAGACGCGGATTAATTAAGAAAGAGGTAACTTCTTTCTTTTCTTTCGTTCAGATCTATGCACAATGGCTTGGTAAAGTTATAAAACATTCATATTCATTGCAAAACGTTTATACGTCACACTACATAATATAATGTTTCTACGTGTGTTCAAACACTTCCGTGTAACCATTATGTGTTTGAGGTTCCATTGTTGTCCATTTTTAAGTTCGTCACATTATGTTCGTCGTGTCAACTGAATTCTCTATTTTTACCATATCTGAAGTCGCAGATATACACTTGATTGCCGCAAATAGCCCGGCAGCGATCGAATGCAGCAACCAACTTGGCAAATGTTAAATCGTGTATGACGTTGCACGTTCCGTCGATCGTCATACACGTTTGCTGATTAATTTCCAGGAAGCACACAGCAATAAACGCACGCTCCGTAAACCGGTATATGCAATTTTCTTTATCGTAATTATCCGATCGAACGGGCGTTTCACTACGTAACGAGAAATTATATCGAGATTAATCTGACGATAATAGGAATGTCTTAATTAATAAGCTATGTGGAATGGGTTTATTTTCCTCCCCACACAATGGACTTTTTTTTTATATATCACTCCTCTTATTCACAAATTTCTCAAAAGCGATGATTGGCATCTGTAACGGATGTGTGTCAAGTGCTTAGCTGTGTTTCTCAGTAACAGTTCTCTTAGTTTTAGTTGTAAGTTCTAGTTATATAAGTATGTAAATAGCGAACATGTATCTTAGCTGTATATCAGTGTAATTCTTGTACAAAAGTCTGCGAAATTGTTTCTGTAATGTTAGTATGCACAGCAAACCCTGTGTAGAGGGGTTCTATAGCTAAAAAAAAAAAATCTGACAACAAAATACAGATTGTTCTACAGAAATATGGTATTTCTACGTATTTTAATCGCTTCGTAAAGGCGAATTTCATATGCTTCAACTGTTAATTTCATTAAAATATAATTAACTTTCAGTCAAATACGATTAATTTTCATCCCGGTTATAACGACAATTATTGTTCTAACGTTAAAAGTTTTTCCACTCGTATGGAAGTTTTTTCTTTTTTTAATCCACGAAATTCAATATCTTCAATTTAATTCGACGATTATTCTTACAATTCTTGATTATTATTTATTATTCATTATTATTTATTACCCTCGTAGATGTTAATTTTCACGATGGCCGAATTAAACTAGCAATTGTATAGTAATGTAATTGTAAGTATCAAGTTAGATTAAATAACTGCAACTTGAATTTCAAGGTTCAAAACTTCTATCTCCGATTACATAATCCTAGACAATGTACGATTATTTCCATACATAATTCAAGAATCTCAATCTTTGAACATGTTCGATAGAAAATGTTAGAATATCAGAGGTTGATATGTTTCCCTATATCCTTGACATTTAGTACAATCAGGAAACTAGAGCAGGAGCTAAAGATTCTCTATTTATTTCAAGTAATTTAACAGTGTCTATACTGATCTTCACCGAACTTATCAAGTGAATATGCAAGCAATGTACCGCGAGATTTTGTCATAAATTCTAGCAATACGTAAAATGAAAGATGAAGTTCCAAGGAACGAGATAGATAACTGGATTTTATGACGACGGAGAAGACTCAATTGACTCGTACTACTGGATTCTACTATAGTTGCGACGACGTTAGTATCTCTCTACAAATTTGTTCTACAGATTCATATTTGGACTTTACACTTTACACAATTGACGCAACTTCCCATCAGTTCATTTATAGTGTATCAACATTTTTATTTTCTCTCTCGAACATTATAAATTCTGCGCCCATTATAAACTAAATATATCTGCCCATCATCTCGTCTTACAATCTCCACTTTCAACTATTTTTTAACTTACTTCTAACGTGTCGGCAGAAATATAGATTCCTATTACCAAAAAACCATACTGTTTCAAACTGAAACGCGCTGAATGCCGGAAATAAAATTATAAATTCTCGCATGAGCTCAATAATTTCGAGTGGCCCGCGCTCGCGTTACACGGGCGAATAATTTCGAACTTCCCTCCGGTAATATAGGTCAATTCGAACAAACAGCGAATTGTACGAAACTGTTACAAACATTTTCAGTATTTTTTTTAACCCTGCAACGGCGGTGACGGGATCATCGCGTAGGAGAATAATCGCACGATATACGTGAAGCTCGAAAGGCTGAGATATCCGATGAAATAATAATCCAATATAAAAACTTCCGGCTACGTGACGAAAGAAATACGATCGAGCTTCAGTCAACTCGACTTTTACAGACTTTGTGTAACGAGGTGGTTAATCCTCAAATAATAAAAGTTCCGCGAGAGAAAGTTCCTTTTCATCAAGTTTCCTAATCCGACTGTCGAGCTGACAAGTTATCAGTCATTACAGAGCCTACATAAGTCCAAGGAAAAAGGAAAAAAAAAGGGGAGAGGAAGGGATTGTAAAACTGTCCGCGTAATAAAATCGCGAGATAAAGCAGAGGCGAGGCGATAATCGGAAGTGCATAAAGTCCGGCGTAGGAGTCGATAACGATTGGTTGGCAGTCTGTGACGCAAGACGCGGAGAACATCTCTTGTTAATTGTTCGTTATCCCCGTCGGCGTTCGTTTATTTTGCCCGCGGCGTATGGCCTCCTTTATTTTCCGAACATCGTCAAAACACTCTCCATCCGATCGATGGGTGATTGACACGAACGGCCAAACAATCGCTAATGAGATAATTATTAACGTCTCCGCCAAGCCTAGACGCGACCACCATCGACAAGGGTGGATCTGATGCGTTTTAATTAACAGAGAGGCCGAAAAGAGCACCGAGAATTTTACCACGTCGCCACGACTGCGTATCATTACGTTCAAAGTCGTTTATTTATAATCGAATCCAGAACACCTTGTGTGTTCGATCAGCATGCTAATATTGATTGCATCTCTCAGGTAGAGATGCTGATTTTTCCCAGAATCGGGGTTCGTTGGAACGGCCGAATGTACGGAGCGTTAAATAAAATTACAGATTGTCAATTCGCGAAACAATTGAGAAAGTCGATGAAAGGGTCGTTGTAAAAGTGTGCAGAAATGAATCGAAAACATTTTAATTGCTCGTTATCCGAGCTGTAGAGAGAGAGAGAGAGAGAGAGAGATAGCTCAAGAGGAGGGTAGAAATATCTATACACCGCTGGAACGATATAGTAAGACAAGCAGGTCTCCCTCCTCTCGCCACGCTTCTTTTATTCAAAACATGTTGTTAAACATTATACCGTCCCTCTGTATCGTGGCGAGCTATAGTCTTATTTGCGAGAGATTCGCCACAACTGCCAGTGAGACGAGTAAAATCAGTTGAATATTTATTAGCGTGATTAATATTTTAAGTATTCCGCTAATCGTAGGTGCGAGTTAAATTCAACTGAAGTGTATATATTTCTTTGAAATCAAATGCGAGACAGAATTCTAAATCTATAGAGATTTTAAAATCGTATTTTAGAATAAAATAGAATTCGTATTTTTAAGTACCGAACCGATCCTTTTCATTGTTGCGATAATAATTGCGGTGATTACTTCATTAATTAATCTGATAATTCGTTGATCATTATCTCGTTATATATTTCGTCATATTATTCTTAAACAGATCGTTTTGACAGACTGTCGATTTTATTTATCTAGTTTTCATCAATCATGAAGGATCTGCACTCTGGTCAAATTTAAAGGATACCTTCCCTCTCGTTCGAGTATATAACACGTAATTGAATTGGATTGAACATTTTTCCGAATTTGCAACACGAGAGAACTGCTATTTCGATTCCATCCGCACTCCGAGTATTTTAAATGTTTAACAGCTTTTAGCTATTAGCTGGAATACAAGGTAGAAACACGCAGCGCGTTAAAAAATTCACACAACGTGTGTTTCTCTCTCTTTCTCTCTCTCTCTCTCTCTTCCCTTTTTTTTTTTTTTTAGTTTTAGCTAAAAATCAATGCTCTACCGTAGACACGAAAAAAAGAGTGGAAATATGAAACTCTAGTTTAAAATATCTGTTGCAGTTTTGAAGTCGGACCAAACCCAGCTCGAGCTCCCGAATTCTTTTTTCCTTTTTCTCGCGCAGTTGTCCAAAAATATATCGCAACCTCTTCTATACGGTGATGTTGCAACAACGAGATGCAATTTTTTAGACTTTATCTTGTAACAACAAACGTAACACGTATCGTTTTTTCGTGGCGTGCCGAAATCGTTTCAAATTCGACGAGAAATGACGTCGTTCG